CCACTGTGCTGGGCAGTCTGGATATTGTGAAGTGTGTTAGTTACTTCTCTCATTGCTGGGACGAAATCCCTGCAAAATCCCTGGCAAATGTGACTTGAGGAAGGAGGGTTTATTTTGCCTCGCAGATTAAGGGCAGAGTTCACCACTCGGGGGAAGGCAGCTGTCAGGAAGCAGAGTGATAAATGTGGCTACCCAGCTCGGTTTCCCCTTTTCATCCAGTCCAGGGTCCCCGAAGTGGTACTGCCCACATCCAGGGTAAGTCATCTCACCTTAATTAACCAGTCTAGAAACTCCCTCTCAGACAAGCCCAAAGTTTGCCTCCTAGGGGATTCCAGATTAGTGGGGGTGAGGGGTAGGGAGGGTGGAGGGGTGTATTTTGGTGTTTGTTTGGTTTTGGTTTTGGTTTTCTAAGACAGGGTTTCTCTGTGTAGCTTTGGAGCCTGTCCTGGAACTTGATCTGTAGACCAGACTGGCCTTGAACTCACAGTGATCCACCTGCCTCTGCCTCCCAAGTGCTGGGATTAAAGGTGTGTGCCACCACCCAGCTTTTAGATCAGTGATTCTCAACCTGTGGGTCGAGACCCCTTTGAGGGTGGAAGGACCCTTTCACAGGAGTTGGCTAAAACCATTGGAAAACACAGATATTTACATCACGACTCATAACAGTAGCAAAACTACAGTTATGAAGTAGCAAGGAAAACAATTTTATGGTTGGAACCTGAGCTCCATGGAGCATTAAATGTATGTCCAGCTTAGCTTTCTATGCCTTGATCCATGGAAATATAAAGCTGGCTGCTCATGCTCCCCAGCCACAGACTGGAGCTGAGTCCACCACTATGCCTTCCCTGCCATAATGGACTGCATCCCCTTAGACCATGAGATGCAATACATTCTTCCTCCCTAAATTGCTTCTATCTCGGCAACCAGGAAAGCAATAGGTTGGCCGTGCTGTTCAGTGGGCAGGGTTATGAGGTAGGTGCTACCACGGAGGAGCCCCCTTCCAAAGTGAAGGGAAAATAATTTTGTATTTCCACCACAACCCGGGGAGCTGGGTTAAAGGGCTGCAGCATTCAGAAGGTTGAGAACCACTGCTCTGGGTCCTGTCAGCTTTACCATCACATTAAGGAAAGGCTAAGGTCCCTCTGGATTGAGATGATGGATAAAGGCATTAGGAAGCAGGGGTCAAGCCAGCTTCTGATTAGATGTGGATGAACCTGTCCAGACAGGGGAAGGAGGTACACAAGGCCCCCAGTGTCCATAGGTCAATTCCCAGCAACTCTAAGACTGTTTGCATGGTGTTCCTGGACCACATTCTGTAACCAGAGGACCAGGGGACCGAGCAAGCTGAGTCACATGCTCATCTCAAAGGAGACCAGGGCATGCTGAATGTGGCACTAACAAGATCCTGTGGAAGGGGGGAGGAACCCCAGAAGGAACTCCAGGTGAACCAGTTTGGGTTCCTTGGAAAGAAGACTGTCAAGACAAGCTACTGTTCCCTTTTGTCAGGAAAGATGGTCCAGCCACTCAGAAGGAGCAGCAGACCCAACTAGGAAGGAGGCGGAGCCACTTCCAGGGTGTGTTAGGGAGCTGGCTATGGCTTGGTAACAGAAACCCCTGTTTGCTTAAGATGGGACTGTCCTCTGACAGGTTACTGAAGTGTTTCTCAGTCCAGTCCTTGAGAAGGACAGAGAAAAATCTGCACGGCTTCCATCTTACCTTCGTTCACGCGTAGGATATCCATTCCAGGACTTGGTGGTGCATGAGTGGATGCAGTGTCCTAGTCTCAGGCGTCGAACGAAGGCCTGGAGGTAAGGGCTGCACAGCCTGGAACTAAAGCCAAGGGATGCTAGGTGTGGTGAGCAAAGCTGGTTTCAGTCTACACAAAGATGTGGTCTCAGCAGTGGCTTCTCTCTGTCAGGGAGGGGGTCTGTAAAGGTTGAAAGAGGGAACAGGAAGCATGGATCAGATAAAGCAAGCTCTAGCATCCTCGTCAAGAACGCCTTTAGTTTTGCTCTATGAAACTAGGGAAGGATCTATAAACACTGCTCAGAAAACAGTCAATTAAGTTGAACAGAAATTGTAAAACCAGCGCCTTGTTTTCTTGCCCGTAGAGACATTCTCAAACAGTAGGACTCCAAACGACTAGGACTGCCAGTTTTGGATTTTGGGAGAGGATAACCGAGAAGCCAAACACGTTAGCCCCACTACAGGCTAAGAAGAAAGAGTTTGGTTAGAGGCCACAATGTGAGGAGCCCGCTTGGCATTTTGTGTCCTGGGCGGGTCCCAGCCTTCTCTCTCTGCAGCATTTCGGAAGTCCTGCAACCCAAGGAGCTCCAATTCATGCATAGCCTCAAGGGCTGGGAGAGATGGTGGTCATCAGTGGCTGGCTGTAGAGCTGGTTGCTACTCGCCTGCGTGGGGATGTTCATTTCTTCTGCAGTCTGATGGGAACGTTGTCCAATGTGCTATCCATTGTGCCTCAAAGCCCACCCTGATGGGGGCATTGTTGTAGTCAACAAGGAGCCCAAGAAGAATCGCACGAGAGCATCATAAAACTCTGACAGGCTGGGCAGTGGTGCACAAGCCTTTAATCCCAGCACTAGGGAGGCAGAGCCAGGCGGATCTCTGAGTTCGAGGCTAGCCTGGTCTACAGAGCAAGATCTAGGACAGGCACCAAAACTACAGAGAAACCCTGTCTCCAAAAGAAACAAAAAACAAAAAACAAAAAACAAAAAACTCTGACAGTGTGACCCTGCTTACATGGGATGGCATTTAACACAGGTCCTTGTTTATTGTTTCATTGATCCAGATACGACCTCTCTCCTAATGCCCTGGACTTTTCCCATCATGGCACATGGTACACTGTCTAACCACTTCCGGCTTGTTCCTCTACTCTAGTGACTGGTGGTGCCGTATACCTGGGTTTTACACCTTGATCTCCATCCAGATCTGCCAGACTGAGGCTACAGAGCCCAGGCTATCAGTGGGTCACCAGGTCTGTGAGCTCCTCGAGAGGCAGAACCGACATGCCGTGATGTATCTTGTTCCCAGCCCACAGCGGTGCTAGTGGGCGTTACAATGCTGACTGGCCTTCGCACCTTCCTTCTTGTGTTCCATCTGGATCTGCAGCCCTGCAGCCCAGGAGCTGAAGGCCTGGGAAAGGAATTTCTCACAACAGCTCAGAAGCTGTGGCAACACTCTCTCCATGCAGGATGAGAGCTAGGCATTGGGGTGTCTTCTTGGCTCCCCACCTCCCACGAGGGCTCAGAGCGTGGGGTGTGTTTATCTGCTGTGCACTAACTCTCCCAAGAGGGACAGCAGCGTTCCTGTAAGTCCCCCCCATGTGTGCACTCAGAACCAGTGGAACACAGCCCTCCTGAGCAAAGACATCAGATTCCCAGTCTCTAGCTGCCAGCATGGGGCCACTGAAGCCCCGGGGCTTGGCTGGAGCCACTGAAATGCTTTTCTTTCCACCCTGTGTTTGGCCCCATTCTGGTAAATGTGAGTTTTATTACCAACAACAGCAGCAACAAGACCAAGTCAGAGATGGTCCAACTGGAAACCTTCCTGGTCTCTGATGCAGAGTCTCTGCTGAGCACAATTCAGCCCTGGAGCCTGGGGGGACAGTAGTTTCCTTGGTAACAGTGGGCCAGCCTCAGGAGGTCCAGCCCTGCTAGGAGGTCTGCGGAGCCAGCTGGTAGCTTCCGTGGGGCAGTCCTGCTTGCACAGACAGGGGTTACTGAAAGCAGAAAGAGGCTTGGGGAGCCCAAGAGGTGGTGTCACCATGGGGTGCAAGGGACCAGGATAGCCTCTTCCTTTCATAGCCTGCCCTGCCCCCATCCACTGGACACCAGGAGCAGGCAGACAACCGTGTCTCCCATCTCTTCTTGAAATAGGATGAAAGGATGTTTGCCTCCCAGACAGGTCAGAAGCTCTCCCGTTTCCCAAACCACACAGGACCTCACTAGATTGCTGTAGCCACCACGGACTCCCTCACTCCTGTGAGCCCTGAAGATGCCCCTGGCACTAGCCAGTTCCTCCCCCTGCTTCCTGCTGAGACTGCTTTGTGTGGCTGAGCTGGGCAGCCTGCAGAATGGGCCCTAGGCAGGCGTGGCAGTGCACAGTAAGCCAGTGTTTGCTGGTTCCAGGCTGGGGTGGATGCAGTGGGGGTGGGGTGGCATCTGTCCTTAAAGCCTGGGATTCAACACTTCTTTCCCTTCTCCTGCTTTCCTGCCCAGTTAACTTTCCTAGGAAGCAAAGCTCTTGGAGTTACCCCAGAAGTCAGCAACAGATTTACAATAAATGACCAGTACGTAGCAGAGTAAGTGGGAAAGATCCAGTCATCCATGTCTCATGGTGTGATGAAAGTGTGTCAAAGGTTGGGGAACTGGTGGCCCCCAAAGCCACTCTAGAAGCCAAGGCTGGAGTCATGGATGATTTTGTGCACCCAGAATAAATCACAAAAGAAGACAGACCTAGGGGAAGTTGAGGTTTTTTCAGTCATGAGGAGGAGACCAGAGGACATGGCAGAAGCAGATACCCAAAGAAAAGGCTGTGAGCTAAGTTTTCCACTATCTTCTGGGTGTTGGGTGTGTTCAGGCTGCAGTCCTGACACTGAGTTCTTCCGAGCAGTGGGTGGGACTTAACAATACATTCTCGCAACTGTTGTGACCTCAGCTGAGAATTCTAATCCCATCAGTAGCCAGGGGGATTGATTCCAGGAGCCCTGGGCTAGCAAAATCTGCAGATGCTCCTCATGCAGCATTAGCTGTAAACTGTAAGTCCCAAAGGTGACAGAGAAAGAGGGAAGAATAGGGTTGAGGGAAGGAGAGCGTCTGGGAAAGGCGATTATCATCCTTAGTTGGGGGCTGCTCAGAGCTGACCAGCTTTGGGACCATCTCAGAAAAGCCAGGAACCTTTAGCAGATCAGCTAACAGACTTCTGGGCTCAGAGGCTCACCCCAATCTAGCCTTTCCTCTTTTGGGGTTTCTGCCTGGTGACAACTTCCCATAATCCAAGTGAGGAAGACGAAATGGCTCGAGGGACATGACTAAGAGCAGAGGACTGCGCAGCACTGTTGGAGAGGCTCAGTTGTTTGTGGTTTGCGGGGTAGCCTTCCAGTGTTTTCTTTCCCTTTAAGTAAGCTAAGCTATGGGGGTGGGTGCCATTTGTCCCACTAAGTGAATGCTGTTAGATAATCCCCCCTCCAAAATAAAGAACAACCCGTTGACAATCTCCTGTGTACTTTAAACTATCTCGAGGTTACTTACAGCACCGAATACATTACGAACATAAATAACTGTTAAAATGTGTTCTTTGTGAGATAATGGCAGGAAGTCTGTGTGTTCAGCACGGATCATTCATTGCTGTGATCATGCTACATCAGAAATGTTTGTGTCTGTCACAATGTCAGAAGTTATTAAATGACAATGAATTCAAAAGGTAGGATGGTCTCAGTGGCAGCAATTTGCCCGGTGGTCCTGCTTTCCTTGATGGCACTGGCTGAAGCAAACACAGATTCTTTTATTCCCATCTTAATTAATAATATGAACTCTCAGGTCACACATCACACCACACACTGTAAATCTATCTGTCTGTCTATCTATCTATCTATCTATCTATCTATCTATCTATCTATCTATCTATCTATCCATCCATCCATCCATCCATCCATCCATCCATCCATCTATCCATCCATCCATCTTCAGAATGGCTAGACGGGGTTAAGGAAGCAAGGAGTCTCAAAAAGGCATGAGTAGGCAGAGCTTGGAAATGGATAGCAATGTAAGAGTCTGGGAGTGAAATAAACCAACTAGGAGGTCTCTGGAGAAGCCCATTGAGGCTGCAGCTGCTGCTGCTGCTGCCGCCAGGTCACAGGTTGAAGTGCAGCTGCAGAGTGGAGTCCAGCACGGAGGTGAAAGGGCAGAATGAGTCCGGACAAATGAGTGGGGAGATGAGTGGACAGAACGGTCCAGGTGGAGAAATGGAGGCGGGAGACAGGCAGATGGCCGTCTGAGCAGATGATGTCACTGGCAGGGACCTGAGCTAAAGCTGAGGCCCCAGGGGCAGTCGGAACTCCTCTGCCTGTCAGTCCCTCTACACATCAGGTGGTCAGATGACAGGTGACGGGTGATCATCTCAGTGTTAGGTGTCCAAATCTTCGCAGGAGTCTGGGTGAGGGGCTTACACCTTTTCGTTTGTCTGGTGTGCCCATAAGCTCCTGGACTTGGCTTTTTAAAAATATGGTTTTAATATGCCCATGTTCCCCTAAGGTCCCAGTTCACCCCAAAATATTTACAGGAAGGCTCTTTCCAGTCCCAGGAATATATATTATCAGTTTGTGCTATGTGGGTGGTGTGGTCACCAGGGGCAGCCATCCTCCATCTCCTAATGAAAGCAGGTGCTGCTGCTTGTAAAATGGGCAAGGCAGTCTGAAAAACTCCTGTCCTGTTGGGGTTCCTATTGCTGTGATAAACCCTACGACCAAAAGCAATTTGGGAAGGAAAGGGCTTCTTTCAACTTACAGCTGTAGCCCGCCATGAAAGGAAGTCAGGACAGGACTCCTGACAGGCATGTCCCAGTCAGTGTTCTATTGCTTTGAAGAGAAAGCATTTAATTGAGGCTGGCTTACAGTTTCAGAGGTTCAGTCCATAATCATGGCAGGAAGCATCGCGGCATGCAGGCAGACGTGGTGCTGGAGAAGGAGCTGAGAGTTCTACACCCAGATCCCCAGGCAGCAGGAAAGGAGAGATTCTCGGCTTGGGGTTGGCTTTTCAAAACCTCAAAGCCCACCCTGCCACTTCCTCTAACAAGGCCACGCCTCCTAATCATTTCAAATAGTGCCACACCCTAGTGGCCAAGTATTCAAATCTATGAGCCTGTCGGGGGCCATTCTTATTCAAACCACCACTAGGCAGGAACCTGGAGGCAAGGCCTGAAGCAGAGGCCCTGGAGTGACCTGTGCTCACTGGCTGCTCCCATTGGCTTGCCCAGTTTGCTTTCTTATATAACCCAGGAGCACCAGCCCAGGGGTGGCACTGCCCACACTGATCTGGGCCATCCCACATCAATCTTAAAAAATGCCATAGACTTGCCTACAGACTGGTCTTATGGAGGCATTTTCTCGGTTAAGATTTCCTCTTTCCAGATGTATCTAGGTTCGTATCAAGTTGACAGACATCAACCATCACAACCACTGTTGTATATTGTATGGAATAGCTTAGGGCAGGCCCAGCCTGATGTTACCCAGTCCTCACAGCATCATCTACAAAGGAAATATGAGGTGAACCGTGCTAACATGAATGCTGGAGAGAGTCTAAGGCAGGGCCTCCAGCAGAATGGACCCACACATCTCTTCAGTCATATGGATTCAGCATAGAGCTTTATGTATGGCAAACTTAACTCGAGCTTTTGGGGACTATTGGGAATTTTCTAGATAGTTTTGGTCTGAGGTTGGTTAAATCCCTAGATGTGGACAGCTATTTTACTATCTCTACTTAATACAAAGGTAAACTGAGACTTGGAGAGAGCTCACAAGTTGTCCACATTAACCTGGAATAGCAAGTATCTAAAGATGGGTCCAGATGTTTGGCCCATGGCAGTACACACACGTTACTCCCTCCCCTCAAAAACTGGAGATCATGTCCCACCTCCTTGACCCTGGATTGGGTCCCAAACTGCTTTACCCAACAGGTGTGAGAGAAGAGACATGGGTTCTCAGAGTTCCAGAAGGTTTGGCTTACTGGGCACAGTAGTTGGCACTTGTAATCCCTGCACTTGGGGGGCTGAGGCAGAAAGGTCATGAGACACGAGAAAACCCAGTATCAGAGCTTTATTAGGAGGAAGGGGGGTGGACAGAAGAAAGTGTGGCCAGGCCTGGGGGAGACACACATGCAGGAGAGTGGGGGGGGGAGAGAGCAGAGAGAAGAGAGGGAGGAGTCTGTGTTTGGCTTTTTAAGGATTCCCCTGCCCATGCGCAGGTGTGCCTACAAAGCTACGCCACACATGGGCTGATTGCCACACATTTGCACAATCACACAGCAGACTGATGACGTAAGACGGAAGACCCCTTGCTTAGCTACTGAACTGCGCGTGTGTGGTCACGCAGCTGGAGGATGGTGGCATCCTAACAGAAGGAAGGGAGGAAGGGAGATGGAGAGGGTGAAGGAGACAAACAAGAAGAGGACTTGACTGCCTCTGCTTCTTCATTTTGGAAGACTCCATGTTGGAGGGAAACCCAAGCTGTGGAGTGGAAAGGTCCATCCAGAGAAAGACCGAGGCCCTCAGTCGGCATGCCCAGATGACTTCCAAACTCACACAGAGCTCTTGGAAGGTCCTTGTCATACAAAGATGGCTTAGCCAATGACCTGCAGGGCCAAGACAGTCACTCCCATTCAGCTGTGCAAACTGTAAAGCCCCAAGGATCAGATGTTTGCCCAGGTGAGTACGAACACAGAACCACAGGTGTGTAGAGAAGCATGCATGGTGTGGGGAAACTGAGGACAGGGATGCAGGTCAGAGGCGTGGCTGCCCTGCTCCCAGCTCCTCTCACATCACTGCCACTTTCTCCCCTTCTCTCCATCCTCTGCTGGGTGCTTAGCCCTAGCTCCCAAGGCTCAAGACAGGACAGTTTCGTTTCCGGTGACAGGCTGTATCCTTTGTCTCCCAGGTGGGAAGCTGCCGCTGCCGACATCACCTGAGTTCCTTGGCCTGGTGGCTGGAGTCTGTGCATCAGGCCCCAAGAGTGGAGAGATGCCATGGTGGGCAGCAGAGGCAGGGCCGAGCCTCCTAGGATATCACTGTCGGTACCCCTGCCCCCACTCATCTCTCTGGACTCAATCAATTTCCCTTTCAATCCCCAGTCCATCGTCAGGAACTTCTGCTTTGGAGGGCCCTAGGCTCTACCATGCTGCTCTGTCCTGTGTTGTCTGGCCTGTCGGGGGCTCACTCCTCTTTTCTTGTGCATTTCCCTATACCCCCTCCCCTGGACATTCCGCCCCAAACCTTCAGAGCTCAGGAGAACCCCAGGAAGCCTGTTCTGTTTGTTCTTTGACCTTCCCCTCCTGGGGAGACCAGGGCACATGCAAATAATGTTATTAAAGCTGGGAATGACCTTCAAAACAATTTAGTCCAAAGCCTCCATTTTATTGAAGGGCAAATTGAGCCCAGAGAGAGGGTTAGCCCAGCACAGCTGTTCAGCTACATCTGGGGTCTACAGTAGACTCTGGCCCCTGGACTTCCAGACATGGATCCTCTCCTCACCCAGGGAACAGCACAAACACTGGCTTGGGTGGTCTCTTGTGTTTGTTTGTGAGGGTATGTATGGCCCCTACGGCAGGCAATGTTTGGGTGGTCAGAGACTATTCCACCATCATTTCCTAGGAATTTGTCAAGGATCTGAGGTTTCTGATATGTAAGACTCCAGCACTAGTGGGTGGTAACTCCTTCAGGCAGAAGGCTGAGAATGGTTTCCATGGAGACCACCCAGGCTCTGGTTTCCAAGGTAACACTTACATGAGGTTACAGCAGCCTCCTATTTATGTCAACTTAACATTTCCAACAGCTCTATTCTTTTGGCCAAGCCTAGGCTGAATGCAAGGCTTCCTTTCTGGGACAGTAACAGAATTCAAGGGCCAGTGAGGTTTGCAGTTAGCTGAAAGAGACAGCATCTCTGCCAGCAGGCTTCACCCAGGGGCAGGTGCACAGAGACAAGCATGGAATTACAGCAAGGCACGGAAAGATGCAACTCACTATCAGCTCTGGTCTCCAGAGGTCACTGGTGTTCGGAGGCTTAGAGCATCCGTTCAGAAATAGCAGATGCAATAGCAGATGCCCGCCTGTATGGTTAGTTTTTTAAAAATCCACAAATGGGAGAAACTTGCACCTACGCGTGCGTGCACCTGCCACTACTTTACCCTAACTGTGGATTTCAGAGAAATCAGCACAAATAAATAAACCTACCTCATTGTTTGTAACAGGAACAAAATATTGTACCTATTGTGAAACCCCATCCCTAAAGAGGAAGGCTACTTTCAATCTCTTGCCATTACCACAATAAGTATTCTTGTATGTATATTTTCATATGCTTGCAGGATACAGGATACAAAGAAATTTCCCAGCTGTGAAATTTCTGGGTCAAACAAAGGCATCACGTTTTAGAATTTTACACTGTCAAACCACTTCAGGGCCAGTGCCGGTCAAGGAGGGTTTATACAAATGTGAGGAGACAGGCTGTTATTGAGGTTTTTTGGGAAAAAAAATCATGAAACCCCAACAAGGACTCTAGGAGAAGAGAAAATGATATGCCAGTGGTGTGAATCAATGTATATCTACAGGTGCTAAAGGAAGCACTGGAAATGAACTGTGACCGTACAGAAGCATCCAGAAATGGCCGAATCCATGATTTACATGACAGTCAATAGAGTAAGTAAGTCAATGAGTGGATACAGGAAAAAAAAAAACAAACATTTGATAAAATGACTTATTGCTAATCTCTGATTTAAAAAGCAAAAAACACTTTGAAAAAAGAACACTCTCCTAACATCTGAAAAACTATATTCAAGATGAATTCCTTTTTAAAGTCAAGAGCCTTGTTCTTGTGGCTGTTACCATGGTACCTGAACTTCTTGTTGATGTGGTGGGCCTAGAAAGAAATCTGGAAGCTGAGGGTGTGGCTCAGTGTGAGGGTGCTCAGCTAAAAGCACAGGAGTTTGATCTACAACTCCAAAGTAAAACAAAATAAATTAGGCAAAAGAGAAATGAAAAATTGAATTATTTGAAAGGAAAAAATATTCATAATCAATAAAATGACACATATTTCTTAGGATAAGAAAACACAGCCAGATGGTGGTGGCACATGCCTTTAATCTCAGCACTCAGGAAGCAAGGTAGAGAGGCAGGTGGATCTCCAAGTTTGAGGATAGCCTGGTATACAGGTCAGGCAGAACTACACAAAGAAATTCTGCCTCCAAAAAACCAAAAAAAAAGAAAAAGAAAAAGAAATGCATAAGTTTGCTGGCTCAATTATTATAATTATAATATATTAAATATTATAATGCAGATTATGTTTTCATAAACTGGAACAATAATCTATATATATATTAATAATAAATATAAGGAACTTAGGAATCAAGCTAATTCATGAAAGTTTTGCCAGAATTTCACTCCGGGAAAATATAAAAAGCCAAAATTTAAAAAAAAAATAAAATATCTTGTTGATAATGAAATCATAATTTCAACTCTCCCCCAGTAGAGCTGTAGATTTTCTACAAGCCCATTAGGGAAATGGAGAGTTCATGAAACTGGATTTTTGCTTTTAAATGTATATGGAGAAAGGACCACAAAAAGGTACTGTGGTGCTAGAGAAATCAACACAGGAAGCTCACCCCAGCAGACAGCCAGACTTGTTTTTAGTATGGCTCAGAGCTCAAATGATAGGCCCAGAGTAGAGAGCCCTGAGATGGATCTTATGCATATGGAAATGCATAAGACATTGCACTGATCCATGAAGACATCTACTGTAGCTCTGCAGAAAGGCAAGAAACAAAGAAAAACCCAGAATACATGCTTAACCCTATGTACCACACCAAAGAAATAAATCACAGGGAATATGTTTAACTTTTAAAAGATTTACTCTTTTTTTTTGTTTGTTTTTTTGTTTTTTGTTTTTTGTTTTTCGAGACAGGGTTTCTCTGTGTAGCTTTGCGCCTTTCCTGGAACTCTCTTTGGAGACCAGGCTGGCCTCAAACTCACAGAGATCCACCTGCCTCTGCCTCCCGAGTGCTGGGATTAAAGGCATGCGCCACCACCGCCCGGCAAAAGATTTACTCTTATTTACATGTAGGTTTCTGTGTATGTGTATGCCTGCAGAGGACAGAATCGGGCTTACAATCCCCCTGGGGCTGCAGATATAGGCAGTTGTGAGCCACTTGATGTGGGTGCTGGGATCTGAATTCAGGTCCTCTACAAAAGCAGCAAGTGCTTCTAACAGCTGAGGCATCTCTCCAGCCCATCCAGGGTATATATATACATATAGTGGGGCTGTGGAGATGGCACAGTCAGTAAAAGGATTGTTAAATGAACATAAGGACCTGAGTTCATTCCCAGCATCCACAAAAGAAGCTGGGCACCGTGGTACTTGCCTGTAATTCTAGTACTAGGGAGACAGAGGCAGGAATATCTCTGGTGTTTACTGGCCAGCTACTCTATCTGAATTGGTGAGCTTCAGGGTTAATGAGGGATCCTGTTTCAAAAGTGTGTGGAATGCTGAGGATGTAGCTCACTTGGCAGGGTGCTCATCTAGTCTGCACAGAGCCCTGGATTCAATCTCCAGGATCATGCAAACCAGGCATGGTGCCCATGTCTGTAGTTCTAATGCTTGACAGATGAAGGCGGGAGCATCCACAATCCAAGGTCATTCTCAGCCACATTGAAGACTGGAGACCAGTCCTATATCACCATCACCATCACCATCATCATCATCATCATCATCATCATCATCATCATCATCATCATCACCACAACATGGAAAATGATTGAGGACGACACTTGACATTGACCTCTGACTTCCATATGTATGTGCAAAGTACACAAACGTGCACAGGCATACAGAAAAAAAAAAAGTCCATACAATACAAAAGTCAAAGGACCAGAAGAACCCTTTAGGATATCGTTTGTCTAACCTTTGGATAGGACACCCGAAATAAGATGTAACAAGTTTAAGTAGAATATGGATAAATCTGACTACAGTGAGGTGAATCATTTCTATTCATAGATGAGACAGACTGCAAGGAAGGAGAGACAAACCACAAACTGGGGTATGAGATTAGCCACCCATTGGTGGCTGAATGTAAAAATGACACAAACTATATTAAGAATGCCCACAGACTAATGAGAACGTAGAAGAGCCCACAGAACAGGCTGAAGAAGAAAATGGTCAGATGGAAGGGGAAATCTGAGATCCAATAGTTACACCAAACTTTCTCCAGTTTCCTAGTCACCAGAGAGATGAAATTAAATTCATAATGAAAAACCTTTTTGCTCCCAAGCCATTGGCAAGATGTCTCAAGGATTCTCAGTATTAAGTATTGGCAAGGATGTGGGCTGAGAAGCATGTCTCAGGGGGGCAGCTGAGAGTGCACAGGGCCAAATTCATGTGAGATGAATATTTGCTCCCTGTGGGAGCCACGGACTCCATTGCTTACTCTACGTAAAGGAGAAGCCCATCCCACACACACCAGAGGCCCCTGCTCCCCAGGAAACAGGCAAGGTGGCTCATTGCTTGCAACACTACTGTTCTCCTAGGGCCCATGTCGGGCAGCTCCCAACCACCTGTAACTCTAGCTCGAGGGAATCTGATACCTTCTTCTGGACTCTCAGGCACTTGCACTTACACGTATAAATGCACACACATACTTTTTTTTTTTTTTTTCCTTTTTTGGTTTTTCGAGACAGGGTTTCTCTGTGTAACAGCCCTGGCTGTCCTGGAACTCACTCTGTAGACCAGGATGGCCTCAAACTCAGAGATCCACCTGCCTCTGCCTCCTGAGTGCTGGGACTAAAGGCGTGCACCACGTGGCTCACATACACATTCTTAATAATAAAAATCTTTAAAAAATTTTATGAAGGCACTCTAGTTGTAAAAACTCAGAAAGAATCCAAAAGGTCATCATTAAATTGTTAAGTTTTATATTCCTACAATGGACTGAATATAACAAACTGTGTAGCAATAAATATGGACTGAAGACTACAGGTGTCAGCATGGTTGAATTTGAGAAATATAACATTGAGGGCACAAGTGAGTCAGAGAATAAAACATAAGGTATTTTGTGGCTACTTGCATAATTTAAATTACAGCAAATCTCTAGTAGGGGCTCTTATTACATAGGTGGTTCATTCATGAAGAAACCCAGAAGAGGGGCAGGAATCACATAGACTGGTTAATTTGTCTAAGATTAGGTAGTTAATATATGGGAAATTGATGTGTGCTCAAGATTGACTCTGGATTAAGGGTGTTGTCTTAGTTAGGGTTTCTACTGCTGTGATGAAACACCAAAAGAAAGTTGAGGAGGAAAGGGCTTATTTGGCTTTCACTTTCACATCGCTGTTGATCATCTAAGGAAGTCAGAACAGGAACTCAAGCAGGGCTCATGACAATGAGACATGTCTGCTCCTGGCAGCACCAATCTACTTCAGAGAAGGCGATGGGCATCAAAGAAACTCCACATGGAGTTTGTTTTCTTTATGGCAAAAGCTAGCCACTGTGCAAAGAAAATGCCTTTGCCTCAGTTGCTGACAATATACTGTCCAAACTAGACCAGCAGGATGCAGAGGAAAATGACTGCCAAACTTTGCCAAGACAAGGTAGGACAGTCCTTCAGAATTCCCTGCTTCTCAGAAAAGTCTGTCAGATATGCTGGGCCTGTAGATCAGAGTTGGATGCCCTAATGCTGCAGAGGAACTTTGGATGATTGACCAGGCAGTCTGATGTCTTTATCATTAGGTAACATTTCACCCTTCTGGGGTCTTTGATGGAGTTGAAGATTAGCTAGTCAAAGTTTTCCTTAGTTACAATTAAGTATAAAATGTTAGAGTCACAAAGATAAAATAGATAGCAAAATATTTTCACTAATTTTGCCAATTACAAATGAATTAGATATTGTAACTGTAATTCTTACTTGACAACTTTTTGTTGTTTATAATTTTACTACGTTAAAGTTAAAACCTTTTTAATAGATAAAAAGGGGGAAATGCTGTGGAATAATCATTCTGCACACTGTGTGAATATATGTTGCTATGATTGGTTTAATAAACAAGCTGACTGGTCAATAGCTGAACGGGATAAAGTTAGGTGGGAAAGCCAAACTGAGAATGATGGGATGAAGAATAGTAGAGTTGGAGGAGACGCCAGCAGACACAGAGAAAGCAGGTAACAAGCCTTGAGCCATGAGGCAGAGGATAGGTAAGAAATGAGTTAATTTAAATTGTAAGAGTTAGCTAGTAACAAGCCTGAGCTATTGGCCAATCATTTATAATTAATATTAAGGCTCTGAGTGCTTATTTGTAAAGCAGCTGCTGGTTATTTGTGAAGTGGCTGCTGGCACAGGAAAACTGCCTACTCAGGGCAGAAACCTGGAGACAGGAGCTGATGTAGAGGCCATGGAGGGGTGCTGCTTACTGGCTTGCTCCACATCGCTTGCTCATCCTGCTTTCTGTAGAACCCAGGACCACCAGCCCAGGGACAGCACCACACACAATGGGCTGGGCCCTTCCCCATCAATCACTAATTAAGAAAATGCTTCACAGGCCTTCCTATAGCCCAATCTTATGGAGGTATTTTCTTAATTGAGGTTCCCGCTTTTGAGATAACTTTAGCATCAGCCAAACTGACACAAAAGTAGCCAGCACATGTGCTTTTGTATTAGTTTACATCTTAAATGTCATGGAGGACAGAGGCTGAGCTGACAGGGGAGTCTCCTAATATAGACTGCCATAATTCCCTGCCTCTCTGGCTCTGGGCCTGGATAGCTTCCCAGCCTCTAGAGGCGGCTCACTTCCACTCCCCTTGAAACTAAGCATGCCTTATGACTTATCTTTATCAACAAAATGCTACCCAGTAATAGGCTGGAAATCCTGATCCCAGCCCTCAAGGACTGGTGGCTTCTGCTTCCTTTCCCTCATAGCTCAATTGATGAACTATCAGGGTACCAGACTACTGATGATCAGTGGCCTGAGGCCCTTAGAGGCTGAGTCCATCTTGCATGTCCAGCCCCAGCCAAGCTTTCCTAGCTGAACACAAAGTATGAGCAAGCAGTTACTGTACGAGGACTTGGTTCTTCAGTCAACCAGCTGAACATACATACATCAAGCCACATACATCACCAGACTCAACTCGGTCAGCTCGTTCTCAAAAGCCAAAATCCAAGATACCGATATCAATAGGGAGAAAATTAAATCTATTCCAAAACTTGTCCCGAGAAGATAGAAGTATGGTCCCCAGAGCACCATCTTGGAGAGCTGGAGTACAGGGGTCCCCCTAGAGAGGAAAAGGGGGTGCAGTGTGAAGCTGCAATTGGTGAGAGCAGGATGAGGTTCAGTGGAGTCTATCCCTGTCTTCCTCATCCATGGTGTATATTTTTTCCTACTTCTCTTTGGTCAGAACATGGCTATGAACCTTGATCTCCAGAGGCTAGGTCCTGCATTTATTTATGCAAACATAGTTGATTTTCTGCAAGTTAAGCCTCAAAGTACTTTATATGCTTTATCAGTTGATACATAAAACTGAGTAAGAAGGGGGTCAGAGAGATGGCTCAGTAGTTAAGAGCGTGTATTGCTCTTGCAGAGGACATGCATTTGATTCTGAGCACTCATGTTAGACAGGTCACAGTCATCTGTAACTCCAGCTCTAGGGGATCTGATGCCCTCTTCTAGCCTCTGCAGGCACTTCTGGCCTGCGCGCGTGCGTGTGTGTGTGTGTGTGTGTGTGTGTGTGTGTGTGTGTGTGTGTGTGTACACACACTCTTAAAAGAAAAAAACAACAAATAAAGGAGCCTTATATATTCTGATGTAGTAACTAAACACATCTTTGCTCATTTATAGACAGGGTATTTCTACATAGCCCTTGCTGTTCGGGAACTCTGTAGACCAGGCTGGTCTTGAACTACAGAGATCCACCTGCCTCTGTCTCCCAAGAGCTGAGATTAAAGGCCTAGCTACCATACCCTGCTCAAGTGTTAGCATGTTAATTGTGTAGGGGTGGGGTTTGTCTTTAACATTTAGAATAATAGGAAAAGAAGGGGACGTCACTTTTCAAAGGACAGCTTGCAGAGTGGCCATGTGACAGTCTTAAGTCTGGTGGGTTTCTAGATACACATCACTCAATAAGTTCTATATGTGATTGATAATGCCACACTAATGATATCAAGTATTTTGTATGTAACAAATGCTTCACAATACAAATCACAACCCCAAATGAAAACACCAACCCTGACTTGATGTATAAAATTTTTCTTGATAGTTTTGATCTGTGTTCTTCACAGCTACAATTAAACATCTCAACCTATTTTTGAAAAAAAGAAAGCTTTTAGGTGGGGTGATGGTGGTGGCGGTGGCAGCGCACGCCTTTGATCCCAGTGCTTGGCAGGGAGGGGCAGGAGGATCTCTGTGAGTTCGAGGCCAGCCTGCTCTACAGAGCAAGTTCCAGGACAGCCAGGACACACAGAAAAACCCTGTCTTGAAAAAACAAAAGCAAAAAACCAAACCCAAAATAAAATAAAACCCAAAACCAAACCAAACCAAACCAAACCAAAAGACTTTGATAATTACATCCCCTGAGATTGCGATTGCTGTTTATAAGCTGTGGTAGACCTTGCTATATATAAATTTAAACTCTTCATTAATTCTTACTTAGTGGGGGTAATGCTTATATTACTTTTGTTTTCTTCAAACACTGGCTTTATTTTATGTATAAAACTTGATTCATTCAGAATCAATTTTGTTCAGGACCCAGGTTTATTTGGTACGAATGGCTAATCAGCTGTTTCATTAAAATCACCCACATGTCCTCACTAACTTGAAATGCCACGGAAAACCAGGTACTAAATCCCCCTATAATTTAAGCCAATTCTGCCCCCCCCCCCACTGTGTCCCATTGACCTCTCCTTTACCACTACAAACTCTGTAATTATTGTCATTTGTCCTGTGCTGGGGGATGTCTTTCTGTATGCTCTGAATATATGTTGTTCCCATTGGTTAATAAATAAGCTGCTTTGGCCTATGGCAAGGCAGCTTAGAGGCAGGTGGGAAACCTAAGAAGAGAAACAGGAAAGAGAAAGGCAGAGTCTGGGGAGAGGCCAGCCTGCTGCCCAAGGAACATGCCAGCAGACCAGTGAGCCACAGAACATGTGGCAAAACGTCGATGAACAGGAATGGGTTAAGATGTAAGAGCTGGCTAGCAAGAGGCCTGCCATAGACCATACAGTTTGTAAATAATAATAAGCCTCTGAATGATTATTTTATAAGCAGCTGTGGGACCGCAGGCCCAAGCTGGACCAGAGAAGCCTTCTGACTACAGTCCTGCTGTGGGTGTGAAGGGAAGTTCTTTGACCTTTGCAGGATTTATCGAGCCTTTCCTAATGTTTACTTTCTCCCAGAACTAAATGGGTCAAGTCCAAAAACAAATCTGGCAAGCACCGTGGTGGATTGTATTATACTTAGAATATAAGCAAAATGAATCATGCAAGAGGTCCTGTGTCCAGATGAGGTGTGTCTGCATGTCCCCACCCACCCTCAATCCCAGGGCACCAGTCCATTCTACTGCCTGTGTCCACTTACTAAGGCCCTCGCTGGCCCTCTCTGCCTCCTTCCCTGGAGAACTTGACCCTGTAACTATTTCTGATCCACCAAGAACAATTACTGATTTCCTAGGCATCATGGTAAATATGACACTGTCCTTGTGCCTAAGGACATGCGATAATGACGTCACCCGCCACGAACCATGCAGCAGGCTGCTTTATCTGCACTCCAAAGCAGCTTGACCTTGAATGGTTCCCAAGAGCTCTCTGGGTACTTCCAGCTACAAACGTGAGCACCACTTGGCTCAGGCCGGAGTCCAGGGGATCTAGGAAGGCAAGGGATCTAGGAAGGCAAGGGAGAGGACACCCCACACTCCTTTCCTGACCCAGGGAATGCTAAGGTCCGTTGGCTTCTTCCTGTCCCCACCCCCTTGTCCTCAGAGCACTCCAACCCATAAGACACCCCTAACTAGCCAGCCGTGACACCAGGCCAAAGTCAGAAGTATGAGTTTTTTGTTTTTTTGTTTTTTTAATTTTCTACAGACACTTCTGAAAAGAGATCTAATAGAGAAAATATACAAAGCATTTGAGAGCTTCACCGCCATGGAGAGCCCAAGTCTGACCCGAGCTGCCAAAGCCTCTCCCAGGCTCAGGGCTGAGGGCGGCCAGCATGAACGTCAGTAAAAACATGCAAAAGAAGGAGAAGGAGAAACATCACGCACCCCTGGACAGCGGGGACAGATCCGGAACGGAGAGGAAGCAGGGATGGAAGTACCAGTGTCTCTCCTTCCCGCTTCCGTCTGTTCCAGCAGCCCTGGCGTGGAGGAAGGCGTGTGCTCCACCCACTGCCCAGGGCCTGCAGCTCACAGCTGATGACTTCCGTACCCACCTGCTCCTGTGTTCCCAGGTGCCAGGCCAGGGCGGCCCAGCTCCTCATTTCTTTGGTTCCACTCAGAGAACAGTTGTGCTTAGCAGACTCATCCCACCCTCAAACTCCAGGCTCCTTCCGGCCGGCGGGACGAAGGCACTGACATGAACCCCAGGGAGAGGCCAGGTTAGCCACCTGCTCTTGTGCTCTGATGGGTCCAACCCAGGACACATTTCCCCACCCTTAGTCCACACTTAGGCCTAAGAACCAGGAGAACAGAGGAAGTGTGCCGTGCATGAAAAAAGTCTTTGGGGACTTGCCCAAATGTGGGGGTGCTATTTCTGAACCCCATGCCAAGCCTCATCCATGCTCTTGCCCCTGTCCCGGGCTTTCACATATCCAGCCCCTCCCTTTAGTCCTTCCCCTTGGCCCAGCCACTGGGGAGCTGAATCAAAACGACGATTACAGAAACCATCTTGGGCAACTGTCCCCTCCCACCTCACACCTGAAAGACCAGCAGACACAGGTCCCCTCGAGAGATCACGGCCCTGGTACAGGGAGGAGGGTGGGGCTGGAAAGAATAGTGGGACATGTCACATCTATGGAAAAGTGCCCAAGGTACAAGCTAAGCAAAGGGAGGAGGGGGAGGGCCGGAGGGCGGCCAGGAGGAGGAAGGAGAGGGCAGGGCGGGCCTGGAGGGAAGGCCTCACACCACCCCGCAGATGAGCGTCTCCACCACGAAGGTGTTCTCAAAGTGACGGATGGCATTGCAGTTCTTGGCCCCACGTTTGTTGATCCCTGGGAAGAAAAAGGAAGTCCCAGTTAGGCCTGGGTCCAGGCCCAGAAAGGTGGCCAGCCTCTGAGCCTGAGAGCCCTGGGACCTGGCAAGGCAGGCGGGGGAAGCCAGAAAGTGCCATCCCAGAACAGCACCATGAAGTACAGTGCTCCTGAGTCAGGCTCACTGTGTGCCTGTCATGGCTCTGCTGTTAAAACCTTCAAGGTTTTACCCTCTGTGCCTCAGTTTCCTTTAAAATGACGATGCCAGCGGTGAGGGTTAGGTGAGGCAATGCCCGGCACGTCCTAAGTGCTTGACTGACATTCACTGCAGTTAGGTTATAATTGCTGCTAGGATGGCTGAGCCAGGGCCTGTCAGAGGCCGGCTGGGGTTTGGAGCCTGGGACACACATCCGTCACTCACGCCTCCGGGTGGCCCGGCGCCGCAGCCGGTACGTGTCCTTCCCATTGCACAGGTGGTAGATGAAGGAGCCCAGAGCCTCCTTGTCACTGACAAGCTCCGTCACCACCATCTCCTCCTGGATGATGTACGTCTGTGGGAGGTAGGTCCCTCTCTGCAAAACGGAGGAGGTGGGGGTAGTATGTCAAAGCACAGCCCTCAGGCCCCTCCCACTTTCCCCTGGGGCTCCCCCACACCCCTGTTCTACGCTGAAATGACTGCTGTCCAACACACTGCTTTGCTAGCCAACGCTGGCACCTGTCCTGTACTGTGGTGATCTTTGGCATGTATGCGTGTATGGCCTCCCACTTTAAGGGAAGCGCTCCTGCAGATAGGGCCTGCATCTACTGCCCTCACTACTGACCCAAAGCATGCATCTGAATGCCAACTCACTTGGCATTCTGTGAGTTGGGCAGAGGAAAAGGGGAAATGACTCTGAGGACGTGGCTAGAGAATGGTGAAGTGATCCTTTGGGGTGCAGGGACATGTCCCAGACTCCCCCTTTAGGGGAGGGGACAGGTGTGAACAATAAGAGGCTGCCCACCTTCACATTCATGAGGAGCTCCCAGAAGTTTCGAGGGGGTAGCACAATGGTGGTGTTGAGTTCGATGACGTAGCACTTGTCCAGGGAGATGTCGTGGTAGGCAGTGAGACCCTGGGAGGGAGGGGGCATCCGTCAGTCTCTGTGGAAGGCAAAGGCCTGGACCAGGCCAGCCTGCTGAAGGTTTTCAGCCAGCAGAGGTCTGAATCCTACCGGGCCATCAATGGGGTCTGGGATCTCAGGAGTGGTGCCCTCCCCCAAGTTCCTGGACATCCAGCTAGGGAGTGGCCCCTCCTCCTGCTCCTCTCTAGGCTGGTGGATGTGCCACTTAACAGACAAGAGCACACTGGTTGTTCAAGGCCTCCGTTGCTACAAACGGTCTTTCTGGGGTTTGCACAGCCAGGTGAGGTTAAGGGCACACGATTATATCCACATGGTGAGGACTCGCTGTCCTGGGGGAAAAAGGACCCTTATGGGACACAGGAGCAAGTTCCTGGCCACCTCCAATCCCCTGCAAGGTCCCTTGCCTCAGGGAGGCATGCTACACCCCAGGATCCAGAGGCCACTGCTACAGAACACTCAAGGAAGCGCTGGGTTAACAAACATGCTTGGAAGGCCTAGGGGAGAAGACTGAAGCCTATGTCTCACTGATCTCAAAAGCGGCCGGGGACAAGAGTGGTGACCTCAAGGAGGAAGGAACCAATTGGAAAAAAGCAAGAGGGAACCTTTCTGAGTGCTGGCGGGGAGCCTGACTTTACCTGGGTGTTGTTACACAAATGGATACCCGCTTGGCTGTACACTGTGATGGTGGCTGTACAAATGCAAACAGATCCAGGACCCTTGGCCTCACAGGGACAGCTGACCCCTGTCACTGTCAGACAGCCCAGGACAAAGCAGTCCACCCCGACCCCAATCTGCCACTGGCAATAACCAACAGTACCACCTTCATAATAAAAGCAGATCTAACGGCCAGTTACGGTGACCAAAGACACCTGCTGTACAGTGTACATACGACCGTTGTTGTTCTGGGTCCCCAGAACACTTTCTACTACCCCACCCCAGATCCCAGTCACCTACTAGCCACCCACAAATCAGCCTCACCCGCTGGAAGTCATGGATAATGTCTGCAGGGTCCCCACCACCAAACTGGGGCACAGGGACATTGATGCGTTCATAGTTCTCCTCAAGATAGATTTTCACATCTTCCTCCAGTTCCATCCGAGTCCGGATCTGGGAGGACAGGGAATCTTCGTAGAGCACGCCACAGTGGAAGAGGTTATCTCGGGCCAGCTGCACAAGGTGAGGGGAGAGACAGACAGTCACGCAGGGTGGTGAGCAGGCAGGGTGGAACCTAAGACTTTCCCAGAGATGGGGAAACAGAAGAATGGGGAGGTAGGTCGGAGTCCAGGTCTGCTAGTAAGGAGGGAGAAGCTGGATCTCAGAGAAGTCACTTCAGCCTCACAAATGGAGGGCAGGATAAACAGGTTCCTAGGTGGAAGACTACTCTGAGCCTCAGTTTCCCTATCTGTAAAGCATAAGATCCCAAAGGCCTACCTGGTCTCAAAGTCTTAGATCTGTGAAATGGCCAGGCAAATAAGAAGAGGACCCACTAGCCCTGTGGAGGTACAGAACAATAAATCCTATAAAAAGCTTAAGTAGGCAGGAGGCTGGGCCTGTGGAACACCACCAGGGGTGCCTGCCTGTAGACACTTGGGCAGAAGAGAAGATGGGTAGGTGAAGAACTCCAAGACAATGCCACTCCATACCCATGCTCTTCTCATGGATGAATCTCACCCCACTCCTGGCCTTGGCCTGCCCCACCAGGCAGATGGCTCCATCGCCCATCATCCAGGGGAAGTAAGGTGGTATTACTGGTGATGAGGTCACCACCCTGTCTTCTCTAGAAACTCAGAGGCTCCTAGGGACTCCATGACATGTACTGGGCAGAATTCCGCCCCCTTCTTAGTCTGAGGAGAGACTCTGCTTGGATGATGGAACATCCCGGCCACATGGGAGCCCTGAGGGCTTGAGGAAGCCAGAGGGAGACCAGATGCCAGGGGCAGACCCGACATGGCCAGCAGGCCAACTGTAGACTGTCCCTGGAAGTGGGGTGGTGTGAGGAACCCTTCCAAAGCACACGTAAGGTCTGGGAAGAGAGGGGACAGAGCAGAGGCTCTGCAGGAAAAGGCCAGGAGAGGGTCCTGCCCCAGAGAGCGAGGGCTAGCCTTGCACTACAACTGCAAAAGGCTAGCCTTGAAGGTGTAGTTAGCCTGCTTTCCGGGGAAGTTCCAAAGGTGGGAGAGATGTGGGAATTGAAGTCCCCAGGGCGCGAGTCCACAGAGCACAAACTCTCGGGTGATTTCTAGTGTGGGAAACTAGGTGACAACAGCCTGAAATCTTAGAAGATGTAAGGGTCAGCTGGGTCCACAGTGACTGGAAACCCTAGACTGTAAGACACCCTGAGCTTCCCTGCTGATCCATCCATGTTTTATCTCTCAAGCTACTTATACTTCAGTTCAATTCAGTGCTCAAGTGTGGTGACCCTTCCTCTTTCCCGGGTCTGGGTGATCCAGCTTTGGGCCTCAGTCTCTAGTGGGTATGTGTTGGGGAAGACAAGCGAGCTCCCCTGTAGACCTGCCATTCCTTGAAGCAGGCTGTGGTAAACCATGCATAAGCTGCCCAGCACTCAAATCCAAATGTCCACACAAGGAAAGTACGACCCCTAGATACAAGGTCTGAGCTCCAGGGAGATTCAAAACCCCCAACCTCTCTCCTGGTGACAGTGCTTCAGAGCAACACTGGCCATTGGAGGGGGCAGGAGTGGGGTGACTGGATCCTTGCTTGACTCTCTCCAGAATAGGGGGTGAGGCAAGTCGAGGGGACACTGGGAAGGAGTGAGGACTGTCTTCTAGGCATGCCGGGGCCCGGGTCTTCCTACTCTCTCCCTCCACGTGATCCCCATGCCCTCAGCAGACTTCCTTTACCCATGTCTTGGTGCTAGCCTTCCCCCATCCATCTGCCTGGCTCCTCACCTGAGCAAGGAAGAAGTATCTGTAGATGTAGACGGAGGCAAAGACAAGGCCCATGAGCAGCACCACCATGCCCATAGACAGGTAGCACACGCCACCCACGGAGCCCCCTTTCCTGGAGCGCTGGCGAGGGGGGCGTTCCTCCTGTGAACAGAAGTGCTGTGGTCAACGAGATGCCCCAGAGGGTACCACTCTTCTGAATTCTTCATCCCCTAAGTGAGATCACCCCTCGAGCTGGGCTAGGAGCCCTGGGGCGGGGGTGGGGGACAGAAGGACAAAACAGATTGTCTGAAAGGAGGAACCAGCAGCAGGGGCTGCAACGGCTTTGCAATGGCATCCTGTGGTCACACGTGATCCAAGAAAGGTCTAGTGGCCGGGCGCGGCGGCACATGCCTTTAATCCCAGCACTCGGGAGGCAGAGGCAGGCGGATCTCTGTGAGTTCAAGGCCAGCCTGGTCTATAGAGAGAGAGATCCAGGACAGCCAGAGCTGTTGTTATACAGAGAAACCCTATCTTGAAAAACAAAAAAACCAAACAAACCAAAAAGGTGCCTAGCTTAGAAGCAGGAACGATTGCCCTTGGGGCACAATACACTCCAGGGCCACACTGTATCTATGTGGTTGGCACACAGCCACCGGGTCCAGAGTAGGGACGGGCAGGGACTACCAACAGGACATCCATCCCGAGGTCATCTGAGGTGACCAGCCTCCAGGGATTAAAAGAGACAATGAACCTGAAAGCTCTTTGTAGAGGACAAAGTATGGGATAAAAATAGTAGATCTGTGGGCCAGGCCTTCCCTTTTAGGCCGCCATTGCGGCCAGCTGTTGAGGCTGCACGGTGGCTATTCTTTTGCTCTTGTGTTTCTGGAAAACCAGAAAAGCTGGCTTTGGAGAGCTAGCGAGGAAATAAAAGAGAAGTGGGGGAGGGGCCCAGTGAACTGTGTGAGAAGAGTGTGCTGTGCACATGAAAACCAGCCGAGCTCAGGCCTTCCAGCCCTGCACCTGCGGCCAACATCCGCTAGCCTGGGAAGCTCTGGCTAGTCCAGGTCCTCACGGACTGGGGGAGGGGGTGGACACAGACTTCTCGAAGGGAGGTAGGGAGAGGTCAGTGAGGACTTGGCAGGCAGGAGTTGAGGCTGCAATGGCCCCAGGTGAAGGAAGGGTGGTCATGTGTAGATCTGGCCAGGACCCTTGACTGGAAAGACTGGGGGTCCCCTCACCTTACCCGGCTTGGGTGGTAACTACATTTAGTATACATTTAGTAGTCAGAACAATGAGGGAGATGAAAATATCCCACTCTCAATATCTCAATATATTTCTTTGGTGGATTCACAGACCTGGCAGATGTGGGCGGGCTCTGAAAGCTGTTCTTTTTCTAGAAGGAACTGACATCCATCTGCACCAGAGGAGTGCCCAGAGGCCCTGCCTCTCAAATCCCAAGCCTGTCTAGGAAAGATCTTCAGGTAATTGAGCAGCAGGGACTGAGCTCAGACACACAGCTTGCCCTGCTTGGTCTCCCTAGAGGTAACTGTTACCTGGGAAACATTTTCCGAAGATGTTAACCTTGCCCCCATGTGTTCTCATCCCCTCCATGATTTGCATGGCCCCCACCAGCTGCCTCAAATCCCTGTTTCTTCCTGTAGCTCACTATACTAAGTACACTTCAGCTATCTGGCCTTTTCTTTAAGCCTTCAACTTTGTTTATGGCTCCTGTATTGATGCATATATAAAATTTAGTTTGTTTTTCCTGTGAATCCGTTTCCTGTCAGTTCATTTCACGGTCTAAAATGATCAAACCCTTCAGAGGGGAAAAAGGAAAGCGTAAATCTTCCCTGTGCTAACGATGGCTCTTGTTCCCCTCTTGTGACACAAAGCTGGCGGCTCCATCATCTCACTGCCCATCCAACACTGCGGCCTGTTGAACCAAACCTCAGGAACACAGGACCCAGCAGTACGGCTGGAAGTGAGGGTGGGCAAGGAAATCTCCGATGTCTCCACTTGAGGATAAAAAGCCCAGCGCTGCTTTTGTCTGCGGGACAGTCAACGCCAGGGCTTAACTTCCAACCCTGGAAGGCTTGCTGTCCCCACTGGGGGGTCACTGTAGACTGTGATCTCACACAAGCTGAGACCTTTGGAGTCTGAGGATCATGGGGTAGCAGTGAAGGGTGGCCAGCTAGCCTTCTGGAGGGGATAGCCTCTACTCTAGCTGCTTCCCTGCCTTGCCCTGCTGGAGACCAGAGAAATGTTGCTCTCCCTCCCCCATGGAACATTTACCAACAGCCAGGCACTGGGGGGCTTCCCTTTAGAAAGGGGAAAGATGGTGCATAGTGTTTCCAAGGCAACAAGCCCTCTGAGCAAAATGCCTCTCTGCACACTCATGTTAGGGATGTGAGCCAGACGTCTGGGGACCCGAGAGGGGCCTGGGCCTCAGCCTTCAGGCTTTCCTGGAGCTTTCAACAGTGCTCGTAAGATAATTAGCAAAGCCAGGGGCAGAATGGACAGAAAACCACCACCTGAAACATAGCTCAGCTGAGATACAGTTCAAAGGAGATAGCTCTGTCTCCTGCCCCTCAGTAACAATGCCAAAATACAAGTGGATTATGCTACAATTGAAGGATACTTGGTGGGAAGCAGGGAAGGACGGAGACATCGACTTTGCAAGCACAGATGAAAGGCTGAGGACTGTCAAGCGGTCTCCACCCCAACCCTATCCTTGGCATTTTCTCTTTCCTAGGCTGCAGGCTGCTGTTCACAGAGGCAAGGATGCCAAAGGGTGTGTGTGAGACAGAGCTACAGACAGACTGAACCCTTGCTGGGGGTGGGAGGCGGGCGAGTACCCACTGTCCCTGAGCACTAGTGCACAGATGGTCAAGAAGCAAAGTCATCACCTGAGTATACGCCACGCATCGCCAAGGCTCAGAGGTTTCTCATCAGAGACCTCCCACCCCTACCCACTCCAGTCTGAGGCCTCCGGGGGCAGGCTGCAGCTATGAGGATCCCTGTGTCTGGCTGGACCCAGAATTCTCTCTCCTCCTCCATCCAGACAGTCCAGGCTTCTCTAGAAAACAAAGGCTCAGAAAGGATCTGAGGCAGAAAGAGACAAAGCTGGAGGCTGGACAGATCTTCTCACTCACAAAGAACCGGAGACTCCCAGGACAGAGGGGAAAGCCCAGCTGTGTGGCGGAGGTTTTAATCATAAACAGTCTGCTGACAGCCTTGAACAGCGGAGCCAGGGGAAGACAGAAAGGAGAGGGAAGCAGCAGGGGGATGGGGAGTGCAGAAAACACCCGGCAGGGCAACTCTTCTTTCTGGAAGTTCCCACTCTGCTAACATGGGGAAGGATGCAGGCTGGGCTGCCTCTTTGAAGGTCACTATGGCCCAGCCCTCTCAGCCAGGAAGACCAGCTCTCCTAGCTGGCAAGGGACAGACAGACCCTTCCCTTACTCGTCCTCCTGCCAAGAGCCTGAGGACAGGGACAACACACACACACACACACACACACACACACACACACACACTGAAATCTGACCCACAGGTGTGTGGGCTGAGGGAGGGGGGTACTCAAGGGCCATTAATCAAAGACAAATGCCACTGAGAAAATTACAGAGCTGAGAAGACGGCTGAATTGAATGGGTTTCCTTCTGTGCAGCCCCCATGCCTGGGGCCTGTCTGTGTGCACGCATGTGTGTATGGTCATTCGGTGGGAGAGGGGCGAGAGTGGGCCTCCAGGGAGGAGGGCAAACACATGCTTCAGTGGCCAGATTCCCACTGGGGCCATGCCATGGCTGCAGGTTCCTCATTATTGAAGTCTGACTGACATGTGGAGATGCTGGGGAACTGTAGGTCCAGCTGGCCCCCCAGCCCCACCCCTCCCCCAAACAGCCTAGGAACTTCCTTCTAGTCTGAGGTCTGGGGACAAATCTTGTTTCAGTATTTGCTCAGGAGGGGCAGGTCTTGTGGGGAGGCTGACCTGCTGCAGCTTTCCCTAGCCACCCCCCCCCCACACACACACACACGGCCTGGACACAGGCGGACAACAGCCCGAAGGCTCAGCTCCCTCATCCGCTGAGTGGTCCTTCTGGGGACCACAGGTGTTGAGTCAGTCAGAAGGAGGGACTCCAGGGTCATTCACAGTTAAAAGAGACCTTCTTCTAAGCTGTCTCACGGCTGTCATCAGTATGGGACAAAATCCAAAAGCCCTGCCTTGATAAAATAGCTCCTGGGCCTCTGCATCCACCGACCTGCCCCTCTAGCCTCCCGGCTCACGTCTCGGGGCGCTGACAGTGGCTCACGTTCCGTCTTGAACTACAGCTGTGCAACCGGCCTCTGCCTGCTCTTACTGCCGTGCCAGGCACCGGGCAAGGGGAAATACGCTTGCTGGCATGGGAGAGCACGAAGAAGCTTGCTGTCTTTCACGGTCCTAGCAGCAGCCGAGATAGACAAAGCTGACACTCAATATCAACGGCCCCTTCACACCAGCTCAGAGCTTGGGCAAGCCATGCAGTGTGAGTTTACCAACACAGTTCTGTCTGAAAGTGTAGGTATTTTAATCCCTCCTCCTGACTGCCCAGCCCGCGCCCTCAGCTCCCTCCAGCCCAATAGTGATAAAGGAGGCTGCTGGGCAGGCTCCAGGCCATGACTAACATAGCACACAGGGAAGGGCAAGGTTGACATTTCCATTTCACGCTGGGTGAGGGCAGGGTGGGCTGCTGAGCTTCTGATAAAAGCAAATTAAAAACAAGAAGCTGGACATTGGTTGTCGCTTGCGCTGTGCTGGTGGGAAAGATCAAAACCAACACGCTGCCTATCCAGAAACGGCCATCGAGAGGGGCTGCAGATGTGGAAACAGCACTGAAAAACCGTTCTCAAGGGGAAAAAATTGGCACGAAGAGCTATTTCAGGGATACAGGCAGGCACGCTCCCCCTCCCCTGCCCCAATGAGGAAGGAAAGATCTTTTCCTAAGAAAACATGGAAGAGTGGGCGCTTGCCCACAGAGACAACCATCGGTGGTCTTTAGAGGGTTGCTGCCAGGGAGGTTTTGCTTGAATAATAAAACCTCTTTTGTTCCTGGGACACCTTTCTTCCCCTCACCTAGCCTCTGATCCCTCACACTACATAAAAACCAACTACCTGGTCCTTCGAGGCTCATATTTTCCGTATGGCTTCTTCATTATTAGCCTGTGTTTTGTGTTAATCTGTAGACTGCCATCTTATTGCACAGACTTATATAACCAAGTCTTCGGAGGTTAATGAGAAAACTTGTAATTTCCTCACACTGGGCTCAGCCATCCTATCCACACCATCAGCAGGCTGCCCTAGCATGTGCCCTGGGCAGAATCCGCTGGGACTTCCTTCTCAAGGGGTGATAATGACATTCTCAGAGCTGTTCGACTTAGTCCTCCCCCTCCTCTGATCTGTGGCATCAGGCAGTTGGGTTCCAGTTCCAGGTCTTAACAATCTGCCACTTAACCAGTTCCTGAGGCCCCATACCCAGATTGAAAGGAAAGAAGGGCCCCTCCCTGAAGTAGTAAAGGAGGCTTAAGAGCCTGGGGCAAACTTTTAAAACTGCAAACCAGTTCAAGTATCTAAAGACTCCATCCAGTCTTCAGACGAAGCTGCTCATGTGGGGGTGTCCAGGGACGCAACCCCGACCTGGGTGCGGCCCACGTCCCTGGCATTCTTCGGAGTCATAGTCTGCTCAGACTGGCCACTTCTGCATGACCCTCTCTTCTAGATCATTCTCCAAACGCTCGCTAGGGCAAGACTGAAACAGAGCTTCAAAACTTGATCTGCGGAGGAGGAAGTGGAAGAGCCTTCTTAGTTCTGCCTGGATGGAAAGGCCGGGGCTTGGTGTGCCCTAGAACCGCTTGGGGGCGTGTGCAAGTGGCCAAGAAAACACCCTTACTGGAGCAAAAAGAAGCTCAGCCAGGTCAGCGTTCCTTATTGCCGTCAGTGATTGCCGTCAGTGATTGTCCCCACAACACAATCCACACAGCAGACACTTTTCCATGGCGGAAACAACTGGGGTCTACTCAGCCAGGGGAAGGCGGGGCACACCGAGGCCACTCCGCACAAAGCCAGCTGAGTGACTAGGGATGCCGAGGGCACCGGGCAGTGGGGACCCCACGCAGCGGAGAGACAGCGCAGCTGCAGGCCGGAGAAGGAAGCCGGACCCGCAGGTGTGAAATGGGAGAAGGTTCATCACGTAAGGTCTGCCAGTTCCAACACCATCCCCCCCCCACCACAGCCCCCCCCCCTTTTGGGGACCAAACCAATGCCACCTCCCCTTTTGTTACTAACCGGTTTCTCCAGCTAATTCCCCAACTAATCAGGTCCCATCACCCCACTTTAGGGAAACCAGGTTTAGCCCTCCCATCCCCCACCCGGGGACTGGCTTCCCGGCCCCTCCCCCTTGATTGGAACCAGACGCAAACCCCTATCAACATTCCCCAAACTTTCACGGGCCCGCCACCTTCCTTTATCTTGGAACTGGGCACCTCGGGGCCCTCACATTTGGAAGAGACCCGATGTGCATCCCCACTTTAGGACTGCTTTGCTTTCGACTGCCGCTTTGGGGAAGGACCCACGACCCTTTCCCAGTTAGGAACAGGCCAGCCTTTTCAGACCTCTGTCCCCGACTCCGCTCGTGGCTCCGGGGTCCCTGGGGTCCTCGCGGCCACTGGGGAGTGCCTAGATCCCTCGACACCCCACCCCCCACCTGAGACCCTGTGCGTCTCACCCTCGCTGGCGTCAGCAGGATCTCCGCGGCCGGGCCAGATGCCGAGGCCGGGCCAGATGCCGCTGCCTTGTCGGCCTTATCGGCCTTGATGCCCGCCACCGCGGGCTGGAAACTGATCTTCACCATGGCTGCGCTGACCGGCTCCTGCTCCCTGCAGCCTCTGCCTGTGCAACCTCGAACAGTGCAGCTGCCTCTTGCTGCGCTGCAGGCACCGGAAGTTTAGATAGCTCCGGAGTCCTAGCCTCTATCCCCGCCCCGAACCCGCCCAGCCCCGTCCTCCACGGAAGGACCTGGCGCCTGCGCCGAGCTGCATCGCTCAGCACTGTAGCTGAAGAAGGTTGAGGCTCCTTCCACCTCTAGTTCATATTCATTCAGTCAGTCGTCGCGCAGGAATTTGGTCCCCTGCCTTCTCTCTGCCTATAATCAGCATCTCCACATGTCGGTCAACACGGCGTTGCCTGGCAACGTGCTTCTAACAAACTGCATCTCCCTGCTCCTCTATATAGTCTCCTCTTTGGAGATGCTGAGGCTCCCCACCCCCCACCTCCCATAACTGCTCTCATGTTTTCCTCCTTCAACATTTGTTAGGCAAGAAAAGGGATTTCAAGCCCAGGCGCCTAACTGCTTGCCTCTATCGTGAAGTCTGCATCCATCCCCTCCCCCTTAATTCTCCACCATGCCTCTTTATCCTTCATCCTGCAAAAACTTCAGGGGGACGGGGTAGGGAACTTGTAGTGCACAAGACCAGTGATGCCTCGCAGGAGCTAAGTCGTGACTTGAAGACAATGAGAAGAATTACAAAGGGGCTGGATCAGAGGTTTGGGGTTCTATGCACGATTCTGCTCTTGCAAAGTATCATGGGTATTGGGGAGAAGCCAAGGATTGTGTTTCAGGGCCATCTCTTGACATCAAAGCCCTGGATCTTTTCTCACTGTCCCTACTCCAGGCTGTGAAAGCACCCAGCATGCGGTACTTGGTGTCCATTCTGCTATGGTTGCTGATAATGGAAGGCAGGGCATTTTGCCAGCTTGTTGAGGACAGTTCAGTAAGTTCCGCTGACCTCACCTACCTGTCAGGGCTTGGACAGTTGCCTTAGGCCTTTGGTGCCCAGGTGCTAGAACAGTTTATCTTGGTTTAGATCTTGTATAAATCAGACTGCTTAAGGCGGTAGAATATGGCCCTGGAGGAATTGAGAAAGAGAATGGAGAGGTGTATTACAAGCAGGAAAGGCAAAATCCATAACCAGAATAAGTATCTACCCCAACCAGGACTAAACATTACCCTTTCCACGAAGGAAGTTGTCCAAAGTAATCAACCTGCCACTGGGGTGCTGGCTAGTTATGCCAGGGTATGGTGCTCAATGTTGGTCCCTGCTTCTGGCATATCTGGCATTCAGCCACAGCTGCAGCTAGATTGCTTTGGTGAGTGGAAGTCCATGTGGCCGAGTCCAGGCATAGCCTCCATCTCTGTCACCATGGCCACTTTGTTCATGGGCCCATTGGGCATGGACAGGAATGTCTGGGTGTTGAAGAATATTATTTAAGGTGTGTTACTTTTGCTTATGCTTTGGAATGTTTGTTTAATGATGTAAAGATGTGTTTGATTAACTAAAATTCACCTATGGTTTGAAGGTTGAGTCTGCAACTAGCTGACAGGAAGTGGTAGGGAGGAGCCAGGTGAAAAAGGGTTTATAAGGACGGGAGAGGAGAAGTATGAGGCCTTTTGAAGGATGAGAGCAAGGAGAGGAGGTAAGCTACTTGCTACTCAGCTTCTCTGAAGAGCAGAATTCCACCTTAACCTTTGAATCTTGAGTTCTTTAGAGGGACAGAGGTTAAGTTCCCTTCTTAGCTGTGAAAGAGTCGGAGCCTGAGGGAACGGAATCCCCTCTGACTGTGGTTTTTACAGCCTGACCCTGCTGGTAGCTACCGAGTTGCAGTTGCTGATTTGGACAGCCGTGGCTTAAAAGGCAGCAACAATTTAAAAAAGAACAGCAGCTGGGGGAAGAGGCTGGCTGTCCACAGAACGGGTCATCCTGTCTACTAGATTACTGAACTCCTCCTCAGCTGAAGTCACCTTTTGATGAGCATTTACATGGAGCATAAGTATCTTCACATACTTTGTCCATTTGGAGAGATCTATGCTGTGGGATGTTAATGTATGTCCTGTGGGAGCCCTTCTTGGGTTCCTTGTGGCGTTACCCAGCAGGTTTCCATAGAGGATGATTAGGACCATGGGCCTGAGTGCAGGTGTCTGAGATGGTCTGCACTTGGCTGT